TAAACCAGCAAAGGACCAGCATAAACCAGCAAAAGGACCAGCTTAAACCAGCAAAGGACCAGCATAAACCAGCAAAAGGACCAGCTTAAACCAGCAAAGGACCAGCATAAACCAGCAAAGGACCAGCATAAACCAGCAAAAGGACCAGCATAAACCAGCAAAAGGACCAGCAAAGGACCAGCTTAAACCAGCAAAGGACCAGCATAAACCAGCAAAGGACCAGCATAAACCAGCAAAGGACCAGCATAAACCAGCAAAGGACCACCTTAAATCAGCATCCCAGCGTCAAAACATACCTTACCAGCATATGCTGTTTTTTTCAACAGGGCAATAAAAGCACAATGAATATATACATGAATACAGTCAGCATTTACAGTAATCATGACAACACACAGTCTGCGTCTCAAAACCTAGTGAGCTGCCTACCTAGACAGCATCTTTGGCCCTCATATGCGCCTTCGAACGCTCAAACGTGCTGTCTAGGCAGGGAACTCGCTAGGTGTGACACCACAGCCATACAGTATCACGTATGCTACCACCCTTCCTTCCTTGCTGTGGCGGTGGGCAGGGTCGCCTGTGTTGACAAACATTTATTCTCTCACTAGGGCGGAGATTTTTTCATTTTGCGAGTCAAAAAGCTGCTAAATAAACGCTTTATTAAATATATAGGAATACACACGAAAGGATTACTGTTTGGTATTAAATGCAAGTATGGGTTGCTGCCTGACTGTTGGACCAAATGAAGCGCTCGTTGTGTCAGGTATCGTGATATATGTGTTTTACTATAACTTGTAATATTAGGAGTTTAATATTTATATGCAATTATTGCATTCATTCGTTAATGAAGTGTGCATGTAAATGTTTGTTTTCACATGTACTGTTCACTGTGGTAAATAATATCATCCAGTCGTGTATTAGCTAGCTACAGCTAATGTTACTACGTTAGCTCATCAGCTCTTCCGCATTTACACGAGTCATTCATAACGGTTTAAAAAATTTTGTCATTTTAACTTTATCGTTTTTTGAAACGTATGACAAATTCGAGCGCAAACATATTCAATTACGAAACTCAGTGCAGATATTTTCCCTTTTGTATCTTATGTTTGCTAGGTGCATCCCGTTACACTTTAATAGTGATTTAATATTCGATAGCTCTTTACATTCATTCATAACTAAATATACTATTTTTATCGAAACGGCCACTTTGATGCTTAACAGTGATATGGTGACGCTACATTGTGCTGATTTCTTTAAAATGTTGAGAAATGGCAACGTGAAGTAACGTTACTATGTTTATTTGACCCAGCAATTAATCTCCAGCATTTAGATAGTATCAGATAACATTACCATATTTACATGGTATTCCAGGGTATCTCCAAGAATATTATAATACTACCATGGCACATTTGGTCCAAAAGACCAAAGAAAAAATTATTATTAAAATATGCATAAAATATTATTTGAAAATATTTCATTTGTATTATTTTATGTTTTTACTCACTATAGTATTGCACTGTCAGATATATTATTTATAAATATATTATTTATTTAAATACTTTAAAAACGTTTTAATAATGTATTCTATTCAAATTATATATATATAGTTCCTTTAATATTATATATATATATGTGTGTGTGTGTGGGTGTGTGTATATATATATATATATATATATATATATAAATATTCAGTTTTTGTGTAAACTAAATCAAGTAAAATGTACTTAAACATTAAATTTTATTTCATCTAGTTGCCAAGGCAAAATTTCTCATTTTCATTTAGTTTAACTTGATATCAAAATGACACAAAAATAACTAAAACTTTTAAAGCTGAAATAAAAATCAATAAAAACTATATATACATATTTAAAACAACAACAACTAACAAAATGACAAAACACAAAATATATACAAATAAAAAATAATTAAATCTATAATAGTGTTTCAATTATACTAAAACAACACTAATGGTAGTCAGAGTACCATGACAGGACTTTTTAGTAAGGGCATCTTTCATAGCATCTTCTAGTTCACGTCATGTATTAATCACCATTGAACTCTGTTCACACAGATCCTATCCTTGTAATGTTTGACTGTGTCTTTTGAGATTATCACTGCAATCACAAGTGTTTTTCCCCCCTCTTCTAGGTGCCTGTTGTGGGTCAGACGCAAAGACATATGTGGTGGGAGGCTGGGCATGGGCATGGTGGCTTATATCAAACACACAGAGGTAATGCCAGTCAAATAAATGAGGATCACAGGATCACATTTCACTCTGCAGTGCAGTAAATGTAGTCAAAGTTCATTAAAACAACACACAGTCAATGTTTAGCTGTGACTATAATGCCTGACCTTAGAAAACTGAAAGGCACGCCCGGTCAGGTGTGTTTGTCAAACCAGTTTGGCTGTATAGAGGTCTTCAGAGATTGCTTTAAGAGATACTTTTATTATATACATCTTCTGTCATTACTATTTCGGTTTACTTCTTAAATTTCCATGATCAGCTGAATTAGTTGATTTATGAGCTGATCTGATGCTTTTCTATCGAACGTTTGCTTCATTCTTTCCCGTGAACATCGCTCTGATTGCATACTGAATTTCCTGTCAGCCACTGCCATTGTCTTTGCACTCTTGTCCCATTTTTTGAATTCTGCAACGCTAACAAGCTTTGTAAAATCAGGTTTTTCTTGCTTTAAGCATTGTTTAGTTATACTTAAAGGTTGTGTTTTCCCCCAGAATTACACTAGAGATTATGACACTACAGCCTAAGTGTGAAGACGTGGAGACAGCGGAGGGAGTCGCTATTACAGTTACAGGAGTTGCTCAAGTAAACACTCAGAGCTCATTTACTGTTGTTTCATTACATTTATTCTTTAGATTTTCCATCATTTACATCATTGCAGCTTAGTATCAGTACATTGTTTTTGGGTCTTGAAAGTTATGGTATAGACCAGGGGTAGGCAAGTTTGGTCCTAGAGAGCTCAGCTCCAACCCTGAAAAAAAAACTCACCTGCCTATAACCTTAGTGATCCTGAAGACATTGATTAGCTTGTTCAGGTGTGTCTGATGAGGGTTGGAGCTGAACTCTGCAGGACTGCGGCTCTCTAGGACCGAACTTGCCTACCTCTGGTATAGACTATCATTCAAAAGTTTAGCCTTTTTTTTTAAAGAAATTAATACTTTTATTGAATAAGGATGCATTAAATTGATCGAAAATGACAGTAAATACATTAATAATGTTACAGATTTATATTTTAAATACTCAAAAATTCCTGAAAAAAATGTATCACATTTATTACAGATATATTAAGCAGCACAACTGTTTTCAACATGGATAATAATAAGTCATGTTTTGTGAGTAGCAAATCAGCTCATTAGAATGATTTCTGAAGGATCATGTGATACTCAAGCAATGTTATTTTAGTATCATTAAGATACTATTATAGTTTTTATTAATATTTTGAAATAGTTTTATTTTTAGTAATTTTGTTGTGTTTTTGGTCATTTTCATTAGTTTATGTTGTTTAAAAATAAATGTCTGTATAGTTTTTATTCAATTTTTATTTCAGTTTTAGTTATTTTAGTACCATTTTAGGATCAAGTTGAATACAAAAAGAGGACAAATGTTGCCTTGGAAAGTAGCTGAAATAGAATAAGTTAAAGTTTTGTTTTTAGATTTTATTTTTAGTTTATTTTACTTAAAGTTTTAGTTAATTATAATAACCCTACACTGAACACTGGAATAATGGCTGCCTAAAATGTTGTAATTGCTCTAAACCTTTGAATGGTAGGACATTTTTAAACTTTTATTTCAAATTAAATTTCGAAGAGTTAAAAAAGCAAAATGAAGGGCTGGTTTAACTCTTGCTTTGTGTTTTCATCAGATCAAGGTTATGACTGACAAAGACTTGCTGGCGGTTGCCTGTGAGCAGTTTCTGGGAAAGTCTGTCATGGAAATCAAGGCTGTGGTCCTGCAAACCCTGGAGGGACATTTGCGTTCCATCTTAGGTTAATAGATAACTAACAATTCCAGTAGCCTCATTAAAATACAGCGCTTATGTGTGTGATTCTATGAAGCTGATGTTCTGTTGCTGTTCTTACGACAGGCACTTTGACAGTGGAGCAGATCTACCAGGACAGAGATGAGTTCGCTCGGCTGGTGAGGGAGGTGGCAGCTCCTGATGTGGGCCGGATGGGCATTGAGATCCTCAGCTTCACCATAAAAGTAAGATGTGTGTGTTATTTAATGCAAAATCATGCGCATGGACAAGGTGTAGAAGTGACCCGCCTCCATTCTAGACCTCAATATGACACCTTCAGCCTCAGCCAGTATACATGTATAAATCAAGGGGTGACAGATAGATGTCTTATATAATAGTAATAATATTAATACAAAAATAATATTATAGTTAGTGCTGTCAAATCAATGAATTGCATCCAAAATAAATGTTTGTGTTATGTGTGTGTACTGTGTATATTTATAGGTATACAGTATATAAATACACACACAGACATGTATATATTTAAGAAATACATGTAATATATTTATATATAGTATAAATCAATATGAATACATGTAAATATTTCTTAAATATGTACATGTATGTGTGTGTATTTATTTATGCATAAAATATACACAGACAGTACACATATTATGTAAACAGACTTTTATTTTGGATGCGATTAATGGATTTGACAGCACTACTTATAGTATTTCTTAATATTTTAAATTAGCTTTTTATTTTTTATTTCATTTATTTAAATTTAAATTTGTTTATTTAATTTCTATTTTATTTAGTCATAATTAATTTACTTATTAAATTAATTTTAGTAATTGTAGTAGTAAAATTGTTAGTAAAAGTAATTATGTGCTTTTGTCATTTTTGTGTGCGTTTAGTTTTAGTAATTTTAGTATTTAAACTTACTTGATTTCACTTAGTTGCCAAGGCAACATTTATCATTTTCATTTACTAATTTTAAAGCTTTTACATTTTTCATAATTAATATTTTATTTTATTTCATCTTTATTTCAATTAATGAATTTATAAAAATATTTTTAGTTAACAACCCACACAACATTTCACATAATTTTATGATATATTTCATATAATTTTAAGTCATAATTAAATATTTTAATTAAAATAATAATAAATAAACATTAAAATGTAATAAACAATATTGACACTTGTTTTTTCTTTACAGGATGTCTATGATAAGCTGGACTACCTGAGCTCTCTTGGAAAAACTCAGACAGCGGCTGTACAAAGGGATGCTGACATCGGAGTGGCCGAGGCAGAGAGGGATGCTGGGATTAGAGTAAGAGACTTCAGGCTTCACTGTTTTTATTGCTAATGCATTATCCATTAGATGTGTGGCATTCATTAGCTTCCGTTTTCTCCCAACTCCCTGATCAGGAAGCTGAGTGCAAGAAAGAAATGATGGATGTGAAGTTCTTGGCCGACACTAAAATGGCCGACTCCAAGCGAGAGCTGGAGCTGCAGAAAGCTGCTTTCAATCAAGAAGTGAACACTAAGGTTGGATTCAATTTCATTTCAATCCAGGGCCATCATTTTAAATCACAGTCATCTTGTTAGCTGGCCGGATGTGAGCTTATACATTCACATTTATCAGTCTCAGATGAGAGTGATAGTAATCATGTGATATGTGTCTCTCTTCTACACAGAAAGCAGAGTCTCAGCTGGCCTATGAACTACAGGCAGCTAAAGAGCAGCAGAAGATCAGATTGGAGGAGATCGAAATCGAGGTTGTGCAGAGGAAAAAGCAGATCTCCATTGAGGAGAAAGAAATTGAGAGGACAGAGAAGGAGCTGATTGCTACGGTCAAGCGTCCTGCTGAAGCAGAGGCTTACAAGATGCAGCAGCTGGCTGAAGGACACAAGTGAGTGTGGCTATCTATCTATCAATCTATTAGGGGTGTAACTATACACGTATTCGTATTGAACCGTTCGGTACGAGGCTTTCGGTTCGGTACGCATTACAAACCGAACGATTCGTTGGACTAATCCTATTACAGCATATTATTCTAGTAGCTTAGATTAGTGCGAGTGCACATTTAGAGTGCGTTCTTTCACTGCAGAATTTGGTCTATTAAAATGCATTTAGAATGATCACAAATTCAAGATATGGGGGCAGAAAATTTATATATTTACATAATTTCATATAGTTAATCAATATCACAGAAGAGTGCCGTTTTTTTCTCTCTCCAAAAATCAGCATGATTACAAATGATTTTTACAACAGTTCAATAAACAAGAAGTTAATTAATAGACTTACGTTTTAGACAGCATATTGCCTGTTTTTGCTCGATTTCGCCAACAAAAATAGTTTTGCGTCTCTGAGCAAAGTGATGGTGTTTCAAATGAATCAACCATTTAAAGGATTCGGTTCAATCGCAATGACTCACTTATTAACAGTGACTTGCTGCCACCTACTGGTGGCTTTAATTTCACATTTAAAGTATCTTTTAATTTTTTGATTAATTTCAAACATCAGTTGTCAACGTTTTATGTTTAAAATATCAAAACATTATTTATGCATTTGTAACTGCAGGTTAAAGCATTACATGTCCCTCTGAGCTGCATTAAACAGTGTGTGAAAGCATCTAAATGCCATTCAGATGCAACTTCTGTGTTTCCTCTGTATTGCAAAGATGAATTTTGTCAATACTGACTTCATTTGCTTGGTAACAGCCCAAATGTCTTATTGACTTATTAAATGTAAAAAAAATAAAATAGACTCAAAAGGTGATGCACACTTTTAGAGAAAAATGGTGTATATATACATATTCAGTATCTATCTACACTGCTCAAAAAAATTAAAGAAACACTTTGAAAACACTTCAGATCTCAATGGAGAAAAATATCATGCTGGATATCTGTACTGATATGGACTGGGTAATGAGTTAGGAACGAAAGGATGCCACATCGTTTAATGGCAATTAAATTATCAACCTACAGAGGGCTGAATTCAAAGACACCCTGAAAATCAAAGTGAAAAAATTATGCAGGAGGCCATTTTGGTGAAATTTCATTGCAGCAACACAAAATGGTACTCAGTAGTTTGTATGTCCTCCATGTGCTTGTATGCATGCCTGACAACGTTGGGGCATGCTCCTAATGAGACGACGGATGGTGTCCTGGGGTATTTCCTCCCAGACCTGGACCAGGACATCACTGAGCTCCTGGACAGTCTGAGGTGCAACCTGGCAGCATCGGATGGACCAAAACATAATGTCCCAGAGGTATTCTATTGGATTTAGGCCAGGCGAGAGTGGGGGCCATTCAATGGTATCAATTCCTTCATCCTCCAGGCAATAAACAAGAAGTTAATTAATAGACTTACGTTTTAGACAGCATATTGCCTGTTTTTGCTCGATTTCGCCAACAAAAATAGTTTTGCGTCTCTGAGCAAAGTGATGGTGTTTCAAATGAATCAACCATTTAAAGGATTCGGTTCAATCGCAATGACTCACTTATTAACAGTGACTTGCTGCCACCTACTGGTGGCTTTAATTTCACATTTAAAGTATCTTTTAATTTTTTGATTAATTTCAAACATCTGTTGTCAACGTTTTATGTTTAAAATATCAAAACATTATTTATGCATTTGTAACTGCAGGTTAAAGCATTACATGTCCCTCTGAGCTGCATTAAACAGTGTGTGAAAGCATCTAAATGCCATTCAGATGCAACTTCTGTGTTTCCTCTGTATTGCAAAGATGAATTTTGTCAATACTGACTTCATTTGCTTGGTAACAGCCCAAATGTCTTATTGACTTATTAAATGTAAAAAAAATAAAATAGACTCAAAAGGTGATGCACACTTTTAGAGAAAAATGGTGTATATATACATATTCAGTATCTATCTACACTGCTCAAAAAAATTAAAGAAACACTTTGAAAACACTTCAGATCTCAATGGAGAAAAATATCATGCTGGATATCTGTACTGATATGGACTGGGTAATGAGTTAGGAACGAAAGGATGCCACATCGTTTAATGGCAATTAAATTATCAACCTACAGAGGGCTGAATTCAAAGACACCCTGAAAATCAAAGTGAAAAAATTATGCAGGAGGCCATTTTGGTGAAATTTCATTGCAGCAACACAAAATGGTACTCAGTAGTTTGTATGTCCTCCATGTGCTTGTATGCATGCCTGACAACGTTGGGGCATGCTCCTAATGAGACGACGGATGGTGTCCTGGGGTATTTCCTCCCAGACCTGGACCAGGACATCACTGAGCTCCTGGACAGTCTGAGGTGCAACCTGGCAGCATCGGATGGACCAAAACATAATGTCCCAGAGGTATTCTATTGGATTTAGGCCAGGCGAGAGTGGGGGCCATTCAATGGTATCAATTCCTTCATCCTCCAGGAAACTGCCTGCATACTCTCACCACATGAGGCCGGGCATTGTCGTGCACCAGGAGGAACCCAGCCAGGACCCACTGCACCAGCGTAGGGTCTGACAGTGGGTCCAAGGATTTCATCCCGATACCTAATGGCAGTTAGGGTGCCATTGTTTAACCTGTAGAGGTCTGTGCGTCCCTCCATGGATATGCCTCCCCAGACCATCACTGACCCACCACCAAACCGGTCATGCTGAACGATGTTACAGGCAGCATAACGTTCTCCACGGCTTCACCAGACCCTTTCACGCCTGTCATATCTGCTCAGGGTGAACCTGCTCTCATCTGTGAAAACCTCATGAAGTCTGTTTCTGATTGTTTGGTCAGAGACATTCACACCAGTGGCCTGCTGAAGGTCATTTTGTAGGGCTCTGGCAGTGCTCATCCCGTTCCTCCTTGCACAAAGGAGCAGATACCGGTCCTGCTGATAGGTTAAGGACCTTCTATGGCCCTGTCCAGCTCTACTAAAGGAACTGCCTGTCTCCTGGAATCTCCTCCATGCACTTGAGACTGTGCTGGGAGACACAGCAAACAGCAAACCTTCTGGCAATGGCACATATTGATGTGCCATCCTGGAGGAGTTGGACTGCCTGTGCAAACTCTTTAGGGTCCAGGTATCGTCTCATGCTACCAGTAGTGACACTGATGCATTTAGAATGATCACAAATTCAAGATATGGGGGCAGAAAATTTATATATTTACATAATTTCATATAGTTAATCAATATCACAGAAGAGTGCCGTTTTTTTCTCTCTCCAAAAATCAGCATGATTACAAATGATTTTTACAACAGTTCAATAAACAAGAAGTTAATTAATAGACTTACGTTTTAGACAGCATATTGCCTGTTTTTGCTCGATTTCGCCAACAAAAATAGTTTTGCGTCTCTGAGCAAAGTGATGGTGTTTCAAATGAATCAACCATTTAAAGGATTCGGTTCAATCGCAATGACTCACTTATTAACAGTGACTTGCTGCCACCTACTGGTGGCTTTAATTTCACATTTAAAGTATCTTTTAATTTTTTGATTAATTTCAAACATCAGTTGTCAACGTTTTATGTTTAAAATATCAAAACATTATTTATGCATTTGTAACTGCAGGTTAAAGCATTACATGTCCCTCTGAGCTGCATTAAACAGTGTGTGAAAGCATCTAAATGCCATTCAGATGCAACTTCTGTGTTTCCTCTGTATTGCAAAGATGAATTTTGTCAATACTGACTTCATTTGCTTGGTAACAGCCCAAATGTCTTATTGACTTATTAAATGTAAAAAAAATAAAATAGACTCAAAAGGTGATGCACACTTTTAGAGAAAAATGGTGTATATATACATATTCAGTATCTATCTACACTGCTCAAAAAAATTAAAGAAACACTTTGAAAACACTTCAGATCTCAATGGAGAAAAATATCATGCTGGATATCTGTACTGATATGGACTGGGTAATGAGTTAGGAACGAAAGGATGCCACATCGTTTAATGGCAATTAAATTATCAACCTACAGAGGGCTGAATTCAAAGACACCCTGAAAATCAAAGTGAAAAAATTATGCAGGAGGCCATTTTGGTGAAATTTCATTGCAGCAACACAAAATGGTACTCAGTAGTTTGTATGTCCTCCATGTGCTTGTATGCATGCCTGACAACGTTGGGGCATGCTCCTAATGAGACGACGGATGGTGTCCTGGGGTATTTCCTCCCAGACCTGGACCAGGACATCACTGAGCTCCTGGACAGTCTGAGGTGCAACCTGGCAGCATCGGATGGACCAAAACATAATGTCCCAGAGGTATTCTATTGGATTTAGGCCAGGCGAGAGTGGGGGCCATTCAATGGTATCAATTCCTTCATCCTCCAGGAAACTGCCTGCATACTCTCACCACATGAGGCCGGGCATTGTCGTGCACCAGGAGGAACCCAGCCAGGACCCACTGCACCAGCGTAGGGTCTGACAGTGGGTCCAAGGATTTCATCCCGATACCTAATGGCAGTTAGGGTGCCATTGTTTAACCTGTAGAGGTCTGTGCGTCCCTCCATGGATATGCCTCCCCAGACCATCACTGACCCACCACCAAACCGGTCATGCTGAATGATGTTACAGGCAGCATAACGTTCTCCACGGCTTCACCAGACCCTTTCACGCCTGTCATATCTGCTCAGGGTGAACCTGCTCTCATCTGTGAAAACCTCATGAAGTCTGTTTCTGATTGTTTGGTCAGAGACATTCACACCAGTGGCCTGCTGAAGGTCATTTTGTAGGGCTCTGGCAGTGCTCATCCCGTTCCTCCTTGCACAAAGGAGCAGATACCGGTCCTGCTGATAGGTTAAGGACCTTCTATGGCCCTGTCCAGCTCTACTAAAGGAACTGCCTGTCTCCTGGAATCTCCTCCATGCACTTGAGACTGTGCTGGGAGACACAGCAAACAGCAAACCTTCTGGCAATGGCACATATTGATGTGCCATCCTG